ATGACAGCACCATGTGGTCAGCCTCAAATGTGTCCTGCCGATGGATCTTTTGGTAAACCAACCATGACTGCTCCAGCTGCTGATATACAGTACGGCCCGGGTGCCCTTCCAGTAGCTGGACCATGTGGCTTTCAGGACGATGTTCAGTTTGGCCAGAATGGGACAGTCCCGTGTGGTCAGTCCCAAGTGACTCAAGTGTATCCCACAAATGGCGAGCCCAACAATAACATTCCCGGTGACTTTCATTATGGCCAGAGTCAAGTTGATCCTGCGTATGGTGATCCCAGCTTGGGTTTTCCAGATATGCAATCTGGTCAGGATGCGTTTGGGTCAGCATCATATGGTCAAGCTCCAATGAATCCCTCGTACGGGGATCCTGTTCCTGGTGACTTTCAGTATGGTCCGTCCGAAGTTCCGTACGCAATGGATCAGACGTTCTCTTCAGGTTTCTTGGTCCAAAAAGCTTTTGTTGCCCTCATCGTGACTCTGAAATAGTCAGGATATGATAAGACTAAGACCGTTATGACATTCTTGGAGCAACTTTTGGCAACAAAGAGTCTCTCATCAATTTTGTGGTCCCCCCATCTTTGGTTGCTCATTTCACTAGACGCTCAACCAAAAATGCTCCAACCTTCGCAAACCGCTGCTGAGGTTTGCCTGCTCAAGGAGGTACGCAGGGTCCAGCGGATCCAAGCTTGGCTTTTACTCCAACCAGCTTTGGTGGCCAAAGTTTGCCACAACCCCCGCCCCTCGGCGACGGACAAACAATTTACAGCTATCCGGTCTTGTTTGAGGTTAGATTCTATACCCAAACACTCCATGCATGGTACAGATGCACACATTGGCCCCTCAAACCATCCCAGTGTGGGCATATATATTCAATTCCTTTCATGGAGTGTTTATGGGATAGTTATTCTAGATAGATGCTGATAGGATGCTGTGTTGAAAGGTCACCTTCGATTTTATGTGTTAAGGGCTGGTGGAAGGGCACCTGGCGAGAAACAATTCAAGCAATCAAAGATGTACTGTAGATTCAACAGGATCTGTATGCCTTCAATATTGCCATGGTATGTTATGGCCACCTTCAGCTGAGAGAGGGCCCCCTGTGCGACATGCAGACCAGGACCGCCACCCCCAAGCCTCTTTTGTGTTCTGAACCGGCAGAACGTCCGAACAGATCTCAAAGATCCTATCTCTTCTTTGATCCTCAGACACTCCATGTGTTTGGAACATGTTCCAGAACTACATTGATCCCTTCAACACCCCGGAACCCAACCCAAGAACCTGGACTTGGTCCGGTCTGTCCCAGCACACCGGTCTGCCAGAACGAGTTTGCGGATCACTCCTCCGATCACTCCCGGTCTTCCGAACGTCCCAGGTCTGGAAGCCTTCCTGGCTCTCCCTATGAAGGCGGGGCATGGCAATGGCATGGGAGGATTGGTTCGTGTTTATGTTTCTTGGCAACTTGTTCGATTGGTTCGCTGGGTCCCCACGGGTAGTTGAGCTGGTTTGGGACCAAAGTTGGAAAGCCTTTGATTTCTGCCATTGTTTCAAGATGTTTCGAGAATCACAATGGACGAATTCCAAGGACCTGCCTGCAAGAATCAACCTGCATTATTTTGGGAGGGCCTTATTGTCTTTGAACTTGTTACTTGAAACATGTTCAAACAGCATCCCCGACACTCCATGTATGCAATATATGCCTACATTGACCCTGTTTCAACCACCCCAATTTATGCAAACATGGCAGTCTCATGGAGTGTTTGGTATCATACTTACTTGCTCATGTTGGACCAGCCGACATATGCAGACACACTGAGGCCCTACAGCCTTTGGGTCCCGGCACTCAGGATGCGAGGGGTGGGTTCGACCCTTGCTGGCGTGGTTCGACCCTTGCTGGTGAGTCACCACATAGAAGTTGTTTGAGCTTTGCAGCGAGGGTCTATTCAGTCGTTTCCGGCTGTTGCCAGGGGATTGCGGTTGATGAACATATGACATATGAACATATGACATATATGTCACAGTATTATATGTATATATAATATATAGATTCTATATACATATGTGTGTGTGTGTATGCATCCTTCATCAAGTGGATGCTGGTCTTGGGGGTGGTGATATCTCGGATTTGGGGTGAAGGATTGACTCTGGGGCCGGTGCTGCTTCAGGAGAGTTTGTGTCGTTCCTTCGGCTAAAACTAAGAGATTTAAACTCAAGAGGGACTATCAGGCAAGCTCATGTCATCCTTGGCCAGCTTTAGTCCATTTCCACAAGACCTGGGTGTGTAGATGTCGCAGCACATGCAGCCAGTGAGTGTCACCAAATGCCTGGTGCTTTAAGACCCTACTAGCCCAAGACAACCAGCTAGAGGCTGGCCTACTGTCGACTAATACCCCGATGGTCCCAGGACGATAGACACCATTCTTTCAATCCGACTTGCAGTTGCAGGGTGAGAAGGACCACCGGTGCCGATTTGATCCGTCTTTTAAACGATGTTCAGCCCAACAACCGTCTACTTGAAATCTCCTAGGATGTTGTGGGAACTGATCCCAGCATCTATTTAACTTTATTTATATTTTTTGTTACTATACAGGTGTTCAAGACCTCTATCCAGCGGACGAGCTCACATGGGCTGCTGACTGCACCACTGAGGGTTGAACCATCCGCATGCCAGCTGGGAACTCGGCTTTTCTTTGAAGCGGAAACGACCAAAAGACGGAACATAGGTGGGTGTGTCAAAGGCGGCAACCTATACAGACCATGGTGATCCATGGTGTTGGATGCTTTTTGGGGCTCTTGTTTGTTGACGCGTTGTATCCTTGCAATATCTTGCAATCGCTGATAGAGTGAAGCACCGTTCCGAACGATGTGCTGAACCTGACGCTTGGCATGGCTTTCGTTTGAAGTTTCAGTGGGTGTCTAGCTTGCTCCCAGTTCCAAGGTCGACTGCAGTCGATATGAACCATTATGAGTTCTAAGCGAAACCGGCCAAAAGACCCCAGCCGTCGACTCATCGGAGCGAGCTGTTGGACTGGATCCGAGCTGGACAGGTGGGACTTGCTCACAGCACCAGTGGGAAGCACCGGTGGTTTCAGAGTATTTCAGAGTAGATGGCACGATCCCGGTTTGTGACATCTATCTACTGTGAAACCACTGTAGTTGTTTGGAGCGATTGCAAGAGAGGCATGTTTGCTGATTTGCTGACCCTGGCATGTTTGCCTTCCATCCGCCGTGGAAGCAGGAAGCATTCTAGAAAAACAGCTGGTTTCATCCCATGGTTGTCTATCATGCCAATGTGAAGCCATTTTTCGAGGAGCCAAGTCAAAGCGCAGACAGCAGGAGCAAGGAAATCAATATGCATGCACCGAACAACAAACATTATACACACGTACAGATTGATAGCTACAAGACTAACTAAGAGGCACAAATCATGCGGATCGCATTCCGACACGAAGAACGTGTTGCCTTGCCCTTTGTCGTTTACAGTAGTATGACAGTATGGTATAATTATAACTTTCATATAATGAATTTGGCGTGAATGGCACAGAGTACAGAGGTATCCAAAGCTTCTCGCTGGGGTTGTGCCCTTAGCCGGGACCCGTCATCAAAAGAAAGTTTGCCTATGCATTGTGCATGTGTTGCGTGACAGAACCACTGGGTCATCGAATCATAATGATGACAAGACGACCTGGAACTTGTACTGCCCAAGAACATTGTTCCTAGTAGCTTCTTGTTACTACTAGTAAGGCACTTGCCTCACACGATGTTGTGTGAACAACATTTGTTGTTGGACTCTCCACCGGATCGTAACTTTTATCGGAAAGTCCTTTCCGGGCCAAACCGTCCACTTGCATGAATGTTGGAGGGAGGCTATATCTATGTTCCCATATCTTTCTATAAAATGAGAGGGTCAACTTCCATTTAAGAACAGAGATGAGGTTATGTATTCGTGCGTGTGGGCGTAGGACCGCCTTCTCTTTCATTGTGCGTTGCCGTGCACAACCCACGACCGGCCGCGCTACTTCCTCATGCCGCCGAAGTTGCCGGAGGGGAAGTACTGCGAGCTCCCTCAGAGAGGCTGGTCCAAGATATGCTGATCTGCGAAGTGTTGTGTTGTTCAGGTGTTGGACCCCTGATCATTTGATTAGATTGTCAGAACCACTTTGCGGGCTCAAGTGTCTAGAAGATGAACCAACTCAAAGTTGTTGTTGCTTGTTGTTGGAAGAACCAGCTGCTTGAGAATTCACGGGCAAGACAACTTCAATCCGCGATTCCTGGCTTCAAGTCGTATAGTTGTTGGCAATGGGAAAGGAAGCCCTGTTGGGATCTCATGAAAGGCTGCCCTGCCCTTCAATCAGTTCATGGCAATGCAGACTGTTGATTACTAAGAACCCCCCTACCTGTGATACCAGAATGCTATATTGAGGGGTTGTGTTAATCAACCGTCTACAAAACCTGTGGATCTACATGAGGATATTGATGCGGTCTTGTACACTCTCCCTTGCCAAGACCGCATCAAACTCAGGTGATTCCATGGTGCTTCCATGCGGGTCGCCAGTCACTGTCGTGAACGACTGGGTCGGCTTCCCGGTTTCGCCCCCCAAAAGGTGAGCTGGGCGAGTTGATTCCCCCTTCTTGGCAACGGAACAAGGTGTAACAAGGCAGCAAGACCAGCTCTGTGGCTGCGGCATGGTTCCGAAGCTGTTCTCTTTTGATGCTTTGCTGGTCACCGGATCTCAGGTGCCGAACTTGCTATTCACGAGAGAGGTCCCAGATTTAGGTTTAGGAGTCAGGAGAAAACCATCCCTTAATCAGGAACTGCTACCCTGTCTTTGCAAAATTTTCTTTGGACCAGTCTGGGCCAGGCAGAAATATGAGCAAACATCCAGGTGTAGATTGGTGAAATGGATATCAGGCAACCCAATCCGGGCAGAAGTGACCACCCGCAAGAAGTGACCTGCCTTCTGACTCCAGGCGTTAAGCTCTACTATGAGATTCAGGGGCCCTTGCGCCGTGAGTATCAAGGCCGCGAGTATTCAACGCCTTCTGACAAATCCTGCTTGATGTTATACAAGAATGCCCAACAAAAAGTGCAGAGGGTGAATCCCCCCAAACCTCTTTTGCATGGCGAGGATCGATCTCCCGGTGTTGTTTGGGAGCCTTCAGGCACTCTCTCTGGGCCGGTCAGGTGGTCTGACCCAAAGTGCTTGCGGCGTCTCAGACCCGCAGGACGAGGTTCATCATTCAATGAGATCACGTGGGAAACTGTGTGTTTTCTGCGCTGAAAGCCCTCCGGTTTGCACACCTGTACCACTTCCATGGCCGAGGCGGTGGTATGCAATACATTATAAATAATACATGCTTTTGATCTTGATGTCAGGTGCAAAAGAGGAAGTGCTTTTTCTTTTGATGGGCTCCGTTGCTGATTTGCGAAAGACCACCGACCAGCAGTTTGTGAATGCTGGCGTTGGGGTCTTCAAAGCTTCTCGCCTGGAATCAGAATGATGTTATTTTTTATCCCCATGGACCGACCAGCAAATATCATGTGGAGGATGGTGGAGGTGAACGTTTCCTCATCGGTTCTTTCTTAAAGTGCGAGGCTAACATAGGCTAACCTCGGGTAGAGTCGATGAAGTTACAACATTCCGGACACTCCATGGGATAATATTTACCTACATTGGGGTGGTTTCAGGGGTCAATGCAAGTACAATCAAGTACAGATTCGGGATAAGGCATGTTATTGTACAAGTGTGAATCTTAGTGTGGTGAATTTCGTTGTCAGATCCTTTTCTTCGTGGTTTGGAACGTATTGTTGTTTATGGTTTGTGTTTGTTGCGTGTCTTTTCCTTTTTGCAGGTCTTGGATGTGCGTTTCGATGTTGTGATTTGTTGCGTTGTTTTTGTAATGATGTGCCAAAGAATTGACCACTCTCAGTGCGGATTTCAGTGCGGGTCCCACTCGGAATCAGGCCTTGGGCACTTAATGTGATGATTTGAAATCTGTGATGTGATCAAGTGCAGTGTGACGTTGTGCAATGTGGTGAAGTGGAATGTGCTGCAGTACAAGCGGTGAAATGCCAGTGAGTTGTCATGCAATGAAGTGTAAGTCCAGGACTGGGAAAACGCTCTTTCGAGTTGATCCATTGCACTGCTGACCATTGATTGCAAACTATAGCTGTGTTTGTGGGCACCTCCAATACTGATCCTTGGAATCAGCCGCTGTGCCCCTTGGAACTCGGAGATTCCTTGGTTTCGCCGCTGTCCCCAGCGATGCGCTCATGGCTCGTGGCCGGACCACACCTTTGCGACCGCACATGTCCCTGGTCATGCACACACACATATGAGCTGCAACGGAACTTGGAACTTGGACATGCTTGGACCACATATGCTCTCTCAGTCCGACGAACACCCGCAGTACTCTGTGGAACACGCATCCACCCCAAGGTCTTTGCTTTTGATCACCGCAACACTGGCCGTTCCACCATCAAGGACTGGGTGGACTGGGATGGACTGGGATGGAGCCCGCTGTCAGAGCAGCCACCGGTGACCGTTCCAAGGGTTCCTGTTTGTTGCTGGGACAAAGGGATCGGACATCACCACAAAGCACAAGGGAAGAACAGCCAGAGGCTAGTGAGCGAGCGATCTCAAACCTTCACGCATTGATATGTAAGGAGGCAGGGGAAACAGCTAAAGGTAGTGAGGTAGCATTTCTTTTCGTCTCATGATCAACGTCTCACATTTAGGGCCCGCGGGCCTTATGGTCGGTCCTGGTCCACTTCCCCTTTCCACGTGCATGTGCCAGGATGAGCCATGTACCATGGAGGATTATGCGGATGATGCAGCAGCACTGCTGGAGGCTGTCTTTCCTGACAGGCCTGCTCCTCGTTCCGACGGAGCGCTGAAGCGGCAAAGGTCTCAAATTTCACCCAAAGCCCTGCTACTGGGCTTCCCAGACCATCCATGTGCGGAATAGTGACCTACATCGTTGTTGTAAATGGGCCTGGGGTAAATGTATGCAACTACACCGTACATGGGTTTTTGGGATTGGGCACATCAAAAGGATAGTCCTGGGTTGTTTCGTACAGTCTATATAAGTGATCCAAGTGCTTTAAACAATTTGTTGTCGTGCTTGTCACAGAAGTGGGTTGCCGAATCAAAGACATTGACGTCATGGCAGTTGACGTCAACCGTTGTTTAAGCCATGTGCAACCCAACCCTCTTCCCTTTGAGCCTTCTTAAGCCTGCAGTTGTTCATGTCCCAGTCTCCTTGATAGGCTGTCCCCCTCTCTCTCTCTCTCTTCAAATCCCCCCTCTCTCTTTCTCGAAAGCAACGACTTCGTCATGGGCTTCATTTTCGCAAGGCTCCCCATCTTCGTCATGGGCGTGTCCTTTGGCGCGATGGTGGCACAACACATGGCTCTTTGCCTCGATCAGTGTCGAAATTGCTTACCGCAACCATCAGTCAGCTCCAACCCGGTCGTCACCGGTTTTGGGGGCCGGGGCCGGCACCTGAGGAGTTCCCTTTTGGGTGTGTTTGGATCTGGGCCTCTCCGGAGACTTCGAAGACCAATGAAAGGCTCCCTGGCACTTTTGGACTTCGTGTGCCTTTTTGCGTTGAAGTCCAGGACATGGCACCCGAAGGCTCCCTTTCACGGCACACGGTGCCTCCAGAAGCAGAGATTGGGGACGATTCTCCGGAGTTCTGACACTACCTGATCCTGCAAAGACTAAGAGGAAGGGAATTTCAGGAAGAAAGGAAGGCAGACAGCTTCAGATGTTTTTCAGCACTGAAGGCGTATTCTTATTCGATGTCTTTGCATTGACCTAAGCACTGCAGGCTCTCAGGCACCCCAAGCTCATCAAGCGCTTGGCACCTTGGTCTTCTTCAACATCACGTTCTTGACGTCTGAGACAGCTCGGTGTTCCGTGACAGGTGCTTTTGGGTTGTGCAGGCACCCAAGCTCACTGTGAGGGCAATGGAACTAAGCATCATACAACGAGATCACATGAGGGAGGAGAGAGCCCAAACCCTGGCATTCAATTGGTATTTGCATGATGCATGTCATTTACAGCAGCTAGACATACCTAGACACCCCAAATAGGGAGTGTGTTGGGAGCCCGAGGGGGGGTGATTGGACTCGGACACCCCTTTGGGGGTATGCTGGCATTTGATGGTTCATAGGATGTTTGCATGATGTTTCTGCATGTTTCTGGCTTTGGTCTGAGCCGGGCAGGCAATAATTGTGCCCTGAGAAGGCCTTTGTTTCGCTCGTTTGGCCATTTGTCTCCCCCTTGGACTAATGAACTGTGTAAGACAGTGAGACACGTGAGGACACATGACACATCCACTAAAAGGACACGTCTCAAGATGCCCTAGAGACAGGGAGCTACAGCGAGTTTCTTGGCTCAGACCACTTGCTAGCAAGTCCTCCTTGCTATTGTTTTGGCCAAGACATTTGGGTGGAACCACGAGGTTCACAGACGTCAGTTTCGCAAACAGGTGATTTGGTTTGTAACTGATCGTGGCATCAACATATCATAAAGAACCCGGAGATCTTGAAGATTGATGAGTGCCCTGAAAGTCAGCTACTCCCATCAAACCTACCTGATGCAGTAATGAGAGGGATTTACATGGGAGTTCAGGCGACTTCGGAGCCCATGTATATACGGTTGCTACGTCCACCACTCGTGCTGAAATTTGGATTCCAATTACAAGTAGTTGCAGAAAACAAGATGACTTTTCAGACTTTTCACTCTGGGAATCACACTTCTGATGCAACCTTGTTTCTAAGATGTCTACTGTACCTTTATCTACCTTTCTGGTTCGGTACACTCCTGCTTTTCCCTGTAGAGTCAATGCGTCCAATGACCCAATCTGCTCATCAAGCTACCCGAAGCGCTCAGGTCTTGTGCTGCGGGCCCAGCGGCGGCCCGGGCGGCTCAGCCTATCCCATCCAGGCCGGGTTCGACCAAATTCCTTCGAAGGTGGGACCTACTGGTACCCAGGCAATCACCTGCAGGTCACCTTCTTTAGGGGGTTGGTTTCACCACTAAATATGACATTCATGAAATTTATTCTATCATTCTACCTGAGAGTCAGCAATTTTGCCGTTTCACTTGAGCGTGGCGAGATCAGACACAACACTTGGAAGCAGGTAAACCATCATTTTCCAGGGAAACAGCTCGGGGGTCAGGAGGGTTGACGTGGAGGATTGGCTTTCGACCACTGCCATCCATCGAATCATCAATCCAACCACCAAGGCATTCAACGGGTGAAGAAAATAACAGAAAATCAATCCACATCAGCCATTTGTTCCACATCAACCAAAGCACTCAAACAAGTGACACCAAAATATGTACACTCCCTGAAACCATCATAGAAGTGGAACAGTTCGGCCCCTGGAAGACATTGGAAGACAGTTTTCCTCTACAAGGGAGTCCTGGTCAGCTTCATTGTTGGAGGGAGGGTAACAGGTCAAAAAGACTGACACAAACATCTCACCGGACCCAGGAGTGGTATGAGCCCTCGTTCTCCATGGAGGAACGGGTGTTGCGAAGGATGGCCCAGGCCAATAGCTCCCGGGATGCTGCCTGGAAAGAAAGGCAGGGAACGGACAGGGAATGGGTGGTGTCAGAGTAGATTGAGTAGATGGCACCAGTTACCCCAAGTTGGATTGAGTATATAGTATATATATATATATATGGAGATGTGCTTTATATGGACCCCATCTTTGAAAGACCTCTTAGGGGTGTCAATTGGGTTTGGAACCGTGTTTTGAAGGCCTCCCTCATTAGTCCATGGGTGTCCCTCCATCATCCACTCGGTATATTACTGTATATACATATATATATATATTATTTATGAAAAGTACTTGACATGGCTTGGTAACACTAGACTATGTGCATCATGGAATCCATTGCAATCCCCCTCCAACTCATCAGCAATCTAGAGTTCCTTCTTCGAATGTCCAGCCACGGAGGGCTGGGATTTTCGGTGATTCAGTTGGTTTCATTCGGTCATCAGCAGTCCTTTTGATTTTCAGCCTGGGATTACGCCGCCCAAACCCGCAAAACTTATTTGACTTGGAGGCATGGATGGCATGGATGGATGGACCCCCTTTTGGATCTCTGACCTTCTTTATAAAGACCACCGCTTTGTAAGCTGCTCCGCATGGGCAACGTGGAACCGGCGGCCCGGTGCAATGAGAAGCTAGAGTCCTCAGTGCGCAACGAAATGTTTGAAAAAAGACTGTTCACATAGACGATCTCTCAGTTTCTGCAAGCAAACTGATGTTTTTCTTCAAAGTGGCATGTACCTCATTCAGTTTGACCATCCTTTTTGTAGGCCAAAGAATCGTTCCAGGTGCAAAAGTGAGTTCGAGATGGTGCACACACTTTTGATGCGGGATGTGCCTGGTCAGCAAATCCCATAATTTGACGCACAGACTTAGTAAGTGACATGATCAAGCAGCAGGCTGCAACTGGCCCAATGAGCTTGCAGTCGGACGATTGGGTGGGTTCGTGTCAAGACAGCCGAGATGTCGGGCTTTGAAGGACACTCGTTGGCGTTCCACATGGCAAGGGTCGGGTTGTCTTTTGTATAGAGAGAGGGAGGGGTTCCCTCGCCTGGCACGGAGGTGGTAAGGCACTGGGAGTGTTCAGCTGAGGAAAAGGTGGGTTTGGATGAGCCACTGCGACAACAGGGCATCCATCGACAGCTGGAAGCGCGACGAGGACATGACACCTGGGCGCGGTGGCTTGGGCGACGAAGGAGGGGAGAGACAGCAAAGACGGTGGTGGCTTGAGCGCTGATGTTGAACCATATTTCGCGAGAGGTGCAAGCCCCAGAACTACGGCCAAACTGACCTGTGCTTAGGGGGAACGGATCGGAATCTCCATCGAATCCTCACCACTTCGGATTTTGCGATCATGCTTCTCCCTGTGAGCTTTTTGCATCACTTCAAAGTTCGGTTTTGGGGGGTGCCGTTGGCTCTAGCCACCCTGATTGCCTGACAGGCTATCCATGAAAGTGGTAATCGGTGGTGGAGATGACACTGACTGAGGTCCATGATGTTGGAATGCTCAAGCCGCCTGTTTTTGTTGAATCACCTGCACAGCGCGGTATTTGGTGCAGTCACGTTTTGGTTGACATCTGTTGCAGTCAAGTCTAGACAAACGAATGCCGCTACTTGGTGGAACTGGGATGGGTCTGGAGCCCGACCAGTCCACCATGTCGCGGGGTAGACCGACACCAGTTTGGTCAACCGGTCGATATCCAGTTTTTTTTTATCCACAGCCATGTCTTTGTTGTTGAGCCATTGTCCTTGCATGCGAGTCCTCGGACTCCCAAGGTTGCCAGAGCTGAAGATGGATACGCTCTTCGCTGGTCACAAGCGATTCGCGAAGACGACCAACCGGCTGGGTCAAAGCAGAACCCCCCAGCTCAGCATTCTTGAAAGATGAACATCCTTAGAAGCAATGAGGAGGAGTCACATCTCTGAGTTTGATGAGGAGTCACGCCAAACTGCTAAGCCTCAAGTTGTTCAAAGTCTAATATAGAGAGCTTGTCCATTGCTGAGATCTCACGATTCCCTGGGAACAAATGGCCAGACGCTGCACCGACTTGATGCATCATAAATCGTAATTTCATACATCGTCCATCCCAAATGACGATACACACATACAGGTCAAAACGGGGTGAGAGGGAGCTTTGCCAACAACATCACATCTCCCTTTTAGGGAACTTAAACCTTCCATCCTACTTGTGGAGCTGGATCTCCAAGACCCAGCGGAGTTGTCCTGCACATTTCCGAGTCGGCAGATTATGGCATTTCATCTGGTTTCCCAAATCAGACCTCCGATGGATTTCTTGAGCGCCGTGAATCAGGTGCTGTTGATTGTCGATGCCTTTTTCACACCGAGGCTTGTATGTGGCAGTCCACAAGACGATATCACACCAGTGTCACTCTTGGAGAAGCTGGCTGACCGCATTGGCTGCGAGAGAAAGCTCGATTTCGAGGAGTGGAAGTGTTGCTGTCCGGGCGAAATCAGGTACCGCATTTGTGTTGAAAAGAAGTTGCTGGTGTGGTTCGACGCCCATTGCTTCCTGTCCACCGGTTAAGAAGTCCACAGAAATCGCAAGCCATGACTCATTGGCCTCTTAACAACAGAACCTGGCTCATCCTGCAAGGATTCATTGGCCAGGATTGGCCTGCTAAGGACTGGCCCATCCTGTCTTTCTTTTTGTTGGGCTTTCTTCCGCCCACTCACAGACGTCAGGGGGGACATGCCTTTGCAGCTGCAGATGCCAAATGCTTGCCCTTCATCAATGAGTGGCTGAGAAGGTGGGGACATGTGGGGACTGTGGGCTGGTGAAGGGCGTTGCGCAACTGGTGGGTGCCGACCGCAAACTCTGCTTCCGACGGCCGATTTGCTTGGTGAAAACTGGTGGTGCGCCCGGGTTTGGGGTTTGGATTGGTGCCGCTTCCGAATCCTGCAAACGATCACGACTTCCTGCTTCCGAGTCTTGAGTCCCGTCCCCCCGGCCTGTCAAAAGACTTGGATTTGGTAGGGCTTCAAGTGACCCTTTCAACTCTGAGGGGGTCAGAGTTGCCACGAGGCCGGACCGCATGGAGAAGAGCACGGAGACGTCCAATGGCCACTCTGTAATTTGGTGCCTGGGTGGCACAAGAAGCATTCTCCGCACCAAGCATCAGTCTAGTGGAAAGTCTATACTAGTAGAAAAAATCTGAAATCAGGTGACCTGGGCCAAGTTGTTGTTTCGGAGAGAATACCATGTGCAGTTTAAGCCAAAGGATTAATTACTTGGATCCTATGAAAAGCAATCTGGCCCTACTTGTACAAGCTTATTATGTTTGATGCCTGTGTGCAAATGTTTCAGGAAGGTGGTGGGAGGAGCAGACAAGGGCGGCATTATCGTGAGAAGCTGACCTGGATTGTCGGATGAGCTGGTCAAGGACAGAGCTGCTTTCCCGGGTGATGCTTTTTGTCCCTGTGGGATCTGTGGGTGAAATCCTCTTTTGCATGTTGTTTTCCTCGGCCCACAGTTCCGCAACTCCTTCCTTATAAGGAGTGCTCATTCATATCTTTGTTCTTCACCCAAAACGGCCCGCCACGCTACGGGTGAATGCCCCTTCGATTATTTAGAGATGATCCTGCTTTTTTGATTCAGAAGAAGCGCTGCCAGTGGATTGCGACCCTATGGACTTCCAGGGATGGAGCGATTCCATGTACCTTAACCCCATTCGTTGCGAGGTTACAGTTGTGAGAGTTGTATGCAATCTCACCCGAGGTAGTGATAGCAGCCTCTTGCTTTGTGCATCTTCATGCCAATTCATCCAAGTAAAGTAGCCATGAAGCAATGAAAACATTCATACCTGCCCGAAGGAAGTCTATGAAGCACGGCCACGTTGCTCCAGAAATAGTCAGTATGAGTCAGTGACTGCTTCTCAGACACTCTGAAGCTATCACTCTGAAGCTATCTGTGCCCGGCACTGCCGTGTTATGCCGCTCCAGAGACGTGCCATGGAAATTTGCAACACATTTGATCTAGACTTCTGCTTCAGAGTCGCTGCCAGCCACTGAGTTTCGTCGTTTCGTTCCAGGAGCGCCTCAGCACCGGCGCATTGGTGGAAGAAGTGGAAAGTCGAGGTGACCGCATTTGCCGCTGGGACGGAATTCCGGAGATTCCCACGCGAGAGACTGAGCAGGTTCCACCTGTTCCTTTCTAAGATGCGGTAGATCTCGGTAGATGCAGTCAGAGGTATAAACATGTTGAAGAAAGCGAGGGCTTGCTCTTTGTTGTAAGTCTTACTCTTTGCATCATTTTGAAGCGGAATCCTCTCTCATTCCAGCGGTGGATGCTGGCGTATGGGTTTTGATTGGAAAGTCTACCGCAGATGCCCTCAGGTTATCGCTTGCAGCAAGGCTCTGGCCCTCGTGAGGGTTGGGTGACCGTGAAGCTCGCAGGTGGTAAGGCGCAGAGCGACGGAAGCAACGAAGTGGTCAATTCCTCTTTTGTGCATGGATTTTTTGTAGAGCTCTCAAGGAAAGATGAATGGCGTGCGTATTTGCATATACAGTAAGTACAATTGGTTGTTGCCTTTGGAGGAACTTTTGACAAAAATATAAATTGATTCTTCCAATCAAAAGAATACATGAATTCAATTGATTCAAATTTGAATCGTCATTATTGTTAATACTATCAAATGTTTATAATAGAGTTGGACAAATATATAGTCTATAGTATTTTTTTACATGAGCCACGTTTTAAAGGGTCTTTGTAAGGACTTGCGGCGTAAGCATTCTTTTGCAAATGCTGTTGGCATAAGGTTATGGTATAAGAGATATTTATGATTTGTGAAATTGCATTTCAAAACACAGAACCCTTTCTATTCTAAGCTTATACCTTAATATACATTTATGGGATTATTGTTAGATTGTTGGCTTTTTGTTTCTTTAGGTGGCATTAAACTCCAGATTAAAAACCGATATCGGAATGTGGTGTTGTAAAATTGAATTGTATGGAAAACAACATTATAATAACACCCGCAATGAATAGGATTATTTACTAAGACAATGAATTTTAAAAATTGCATTGGCTAATTGATTGCTTAGGCCGTTACGTCTAAATTTTATTTCCGGGTTGGACGTAAGCTAAAGTTGCCTTTTTATATATATCCTAAATATATATATTGTCGTAATTCGGTATAGAGCGCTAGCGACTTGTTACAAAAAATTCTATAGATGAAGCCTACTTTTTGTTGAATAAGGCTTTCTCTAGATGTTAGTCTGTCTTTTTTTGCTTATTAGTGGTGCTTATAATTAGTTTGGTTTTTTTGTTTGGTTTTTTTTTGTGTTCTACGCACTTTAATAATTGAAATGTTTGGGCATTGTTAATAATCCGTCTAACCTTTCTTTACATATATAACTTTTTTTCTAAACCAAATTCCTTTATATTATCCGGAATTTATATACGAAATAATATATTTTATGATAATTCTATTAAAGAATTTTTAGATTCTTGGATAATTTATAATATTTTTATATTTAATATATTTTTATATTGCTATATTGTATTTAGGAATTTATATATATTTATATATATATTAATTGAATACGATAAATATATGTATATATATTTATTTTTAATAATATGTTTATATAAATATATAAGTAGTTTCCGGATAAATCGACGATAAAAAATTCTTATATAAATAAATTGATTTATAGGAATATTTTTTTTTTTATTATATATATTTTTCGTATTAATTAATTAGAATTGTTAGAATTAATTATAATTAAATTTATTGAAATTAGAATTAATTGGAATTTGAATTATTGAAATTAATTTAAATAATTATAATGAATGATAAATGATATATATTTTTATTTTCGTTTTATATTAATTATTAATTTGTTAAATAAGAATTTAATTAGTTTAAATTTATTAATTGTTTAAATTAAAATATTTTGAATAAAATGGGGTGGTCGGAATATACACTCCGGAATATATATGCGATTTGTCTTGGTTTTTGTGGACCACGGTATCTAAGCTCTATATATTCGGTTGGAATATTTCTTTTTGATTTGAATTCCGATTGAAATGGTTCTATGATTTCATATATTGGATGACTTATTTGTTTGATTTTCCGCATCTTGACCTTGAGGTCTCCGTATATCACTAGCTTGTAATTTTTTGTACCCTGTTGACACCGTGCTATTGGGTTTGGGACTTAGCGGAACAGGAGCTCCTGTAGTACCCAGACATTGTTTTTTTTTTTTTCTATTTAACAGCCTGGATTTAGCACCCTGGATTTAGTAGTTTCATTTCCAAAGCTTGTTGTTTGAACTAGAACACGTACTGGCCCAAGACTGCTTTCATCGGTGTCTTGCACTCGGACTTAGAAATGGAACGTATGAACGGAGACGATTAATCTTTTGCCGAGCTGATGGATGTTTGTGGCAGTCACTTTGCAAAATGTCCTAGAACGGAGGAGGAGGATAAGTCATTAGACCGCCGATTTGTACGAAAGGGGCAGAGGAAGCCTTCGCGCTCCTCGGCTTCGGACTTGGACGAAAATGGCAATTTGATCTTAATGATAGCAAAACTGACACTTCGTCAGGAGGACCAGCTGAATCAGATCCATCTAAACAAAAGCTTCATCTTCTTTGTCCAAGCAGGAAAAGGCAGCATCCTGCCATTGATGCTGAAGACCTCCAAGGACTGGCATGGGCAGCGGGAATTGGGAAAGATTACCACCTCGTTGAGGCAACATATGTTTAGTGTTCGAGGAGCTGGCATTCCGAGCCTCCAAATTGCCCTTCGGATCAAACGATCACGAATTGATTCGAACGCTTCAGACCAAACAAATATTGACAGCAACCAACTCCTGGAATTACCTTCAATGGGATTCCAAAGAGAAGACTCTGAAGCCGGCAGCCAGGGATCCCCTCCCCTCAGAGGAAGCCGCAACATTGATCTAGAAGATTTATAATCTAGCAGCTTAACCGGACCTGATCCATCGGTTCTCAGACCTGAAGCCTATGCCACAGGATTCAATAGTGAAATTCTGTGATCGTGCCCTGGAAATTCGACATCTCATTGAGGGGCCAGCCGGCACAGGACCTATACGATGCCCTACAGCGATTGACAGGCAGCGGGCTTACGCAGATGATCTTTGTTCGAATCCGATCATCGACCTTGCAGAGATCACCCTTGGCTCAGGCCATTGCAGCTCGCTTGATGAAATGAGAAAAACCATTTTGGCACTCTCTTTGGGGAACGGCTCCACCATTTGCTACATGAATGCAGCATTGTTGGCTGAACTTTGGGCCTGCTGCATGAATGACACCTTTGTCTGGCATAAGGTTGGCGCCTGGAAAGATCCTTTGATCCGCCTGCTCGCGAGCAGCAACTAACATCGGGTACTGACTGAAACCAGTTGTTTAGGCCATCTTTTGCACTCATGGTTCACGAATCATGAGCCGGGGACACAGCAGGATTCTGCTGAGTTTGTTGGCTGGCTTCGACAAGCCATGCACGGGGATACATATGGAGATCTGTCCACCTCCATTTGCGAGGCAAGGCTTGAAGCAGCCACTGAGGATTCAGGACACTTGTACGCTCCGATCCTCCTTCAACAGACAAAAGATGGCGATTGCACGATTCAAAACCTGATCAACTTGTGGCATGACCAAGCGCCATTCCACTGTGGTTTTTCGGCCGGCACGACCACTGTATGCCTACAGGTGAACAGGTTCCCTGCCATGGATGTTCGGTCTCCCCAACCGTTTCGATGGAATAGAATCAATGTCCACTTGCCATGTTTCGTCAATGCCCATAGCTGGACTGTCCACTGGAAACATTTTGAGATAGTTTCCGTTGTGGTTCACCGAGGCGCGGAACCTTACTCCGGCCACTACCAGGCCTGTCTCCGGACCGGAGGTTGTAGATTCCTGACTGATGATTGGAGCCGCGCCATCCCGTGCGCTCACACAGCAGACCTTGAGCATGACCTGTATCTCCTTTGGCTCGTTGATAGCACACATCTCACGAGCGCCTGGAGTTCCCTTCTTTCTTGCAACCCTTTCGTGCCTTTTTCGAGCAGCCAAGAGAACTGAACAATGCCGCCCGGGGCAAGTGATGCGCTCGACGCAGCCAATCTACGGATTGAAGCCCAACACGGGCAGAGCTCTCTCTGCCGGAAGTGAATGAATGAATGAATGAATGGGGTGGTCGGTAGATATGATTTAATTAGTTAAAACGATGTGAGAGAGTGTTTATTTGCATATTAAATTTGTATTATAAAATTATTAATGTTATTTCTATATTATTTTTATTATATTTTTGTAATGATTTATATATTAAAATTATATTATAAACATATTATTTGTAAAAAAAATATATATTGAAATATATATTGTAAAA